ACATTGCATAGCTGTACTTTTACCTTTACAAAAATCGGAATCAGAATATTTATCTACATACTGGAGGAATCCGACGAAGTAACCATGAAGCGCTGTGTTCACTGTTAATGGCAATCGTGAATGTAGACGCTTCGTACGCCTCTAACGCGCGACGCACGAACAATTACTCCCTGGCAATTGCTGCGACTACAGTACGTTTATTTTATTTTCACCATAACAATCATTGTTTATGGGGACCACCACGGTTATTAAGTGTGTAATGAATATCTTCAATCGGAGCCACCCTTTACCCAATAATCAGCAATGTTTCAGCACATCCTCACGACGAATTTGTCGCGAGCATTCCGATATTGAGGAGCCACATCCGGCAAAAATACATCTTGCTTGATGTATATTTTTCCTTCTCAGTCCTTTAGCTGAGCCACATTCAAACGAGTGCAGGAATGGGGGCACATAGACACATAGCCACGATGGGCTGTCACCGACATGTTTGAGCGTGTGTGGTGCACATGTCCACGCACGGACACCTTTTGTCGATGTGTGGCTGGATGAGGGCTTCTCACCACGCCTAGTGGGCCGTGAGAGATATTTCAGCAATTCTGCCACAAATTCTGGTTGTTGTTACCAGCGAAACGCCGGACTCAAATTGTAAATGTTGTGGGTTTACTCTCCAACACACCGTTGTGCTGATGTAGTCACTAATTGGCACGTTTTGTGCACGTGGCAAACTTTACTGATTGGCTGTGTCGGGTGGTGGTGGGTTTAACGACATATTTATACTTACGAGATCTAACCCGAAATAACTTTTATTATGAACAGTATTGTTAGTGAAAGCACACGTGCTAAATTGCATCAAAAGCACACCGGTCACCGCCACTGCCCCCTCTACTGCCCACAATGCCTACTACATCTGTTTTATCAGCCTGGTCTTCACCAATCCATGCACTTGTCAAGATTCAACCCTGGTTAGCTTGCGAGATGCGCCGAGATTGGGCACATTCCACGTGATTTCATTTGGTGGTGGGGATCGGGGTGGGGAGAAAAAAAATGTAGTTGCTGCAAGGCACCACTAATTGTCCTTTATACAAAATATGTACGAATAACTATCCTTGCTACCCATGGGTCTATATTTTCATTGAGCAATTTACTGAAGTTGGTGCCATACTCTTGAGATGTTATCAGCCAGCAACGTCTGTTCACGCGATCGCCAACGGTCGCCGCTGCGTTCACGCAATCGTTCTAAACCCACGCTGCAGCTCACGTTGAGCAGCGCGCTGTCCATAAACGAGCGGTGAGTGGCGGTTTGATTTGCAAAACCGTGTTACTGGTTCCCAGTGACTTGTGCTTGATTTCAGGCCGCGCGCGCCGTGGGGGGCGTGGGGCAGTGGAAAGGGGGCGAGGAGGGGGTGCGTGACCCCTTTAGACAACTCGGCGCTATAATGAGTACCCGGCGTCGTGGTGATGCGGTCAACGTTAGCGCGGTACCAAGAGCCACGAAGGCAGCCAAGCGAGGCGCTGACTCCCAACGCCTTCCCCGCGTGTCACAGATGCTCGCCAAACTAAGCGACGGCACCGTGGACAATTTACCGAGGCCAAAAAGAGCATCTTTGTCGACTAGATTCCATCTTCTGAATATATGTATTAAAAAAAAAACCCACCGCAACTTGTTCGTCAATAACACTGTGGCCTTGAAAGGAAAAGTATACTATAGGCAACGTGTCTTGCAATGCCACCTTCCTTACAGAACATTCCTTGCGATGAGGTTGAAGGTTCCCCCCCCCCCACTGTACATACCGATACATGTATTTTTTACCTCCTGAAATAAAGATAATTCTTGAAAAATGTCAAGGAAGAAAAGAGTAATACATCAGTTCGTAATACTGGATACGCCCTAAAGGTAAAAGCAGAATAGGAAAAATGCCCCTCAAATTATACCCCAGTATCCGCGGGGTATAAACCGTACAAGTATAAAATAATATATGACTATTACAGGTGTATTTGTAAGGGACCCTGCGGCTTACAGGACCTTTATAAATTGATAAATGTTATATTAACTATTCCCTGCAGGCAAACGAAAAGAGAAATGCCATGTGGTGTATTGTGGTGCATAATAATAATAACAAACGTGTCCATCTGGGGCAGCACAGCGTCACTCCTGCAATTTCGTACAACTTCTCGGTTAGTTCATGTCACAGGGCAATACAAAAAAAAAACATACCGTATAAGCATTTCCCAAACAATTTCAAACAACCCATGATATTTACGGTGGGATGGTTAATAATGTCACGACCAAATCGCTCGAACTGCACCCAGTGATGGCAGATCGAGGATGCTAAGTAGGGCTGATCTTGGTGAGTACTTGGATTCGACTTGCCTGGTGGTTTAGCTACAGGGCCGTGAGGTGCCCAGGAGGTGGGAGTGCTGAGCGTCAACCCACCGTATGCGTGGTCAGGGAGGTTGTTTGTGATCATAACTTCACCGTGCTGCTCAGCTCGGGTTGGTGACAGCGAACGGACCCACGGTCGTTTAAGATATCGCTTGCTTACTGCTGTTAGATGTCAGACTAAGGCTTTATGTCAGCCGGTAAGGCCCAATGAGCAAAGCACAGCTCTTTTACACGGATGACCACAGCCCAAGACAGTTGGCAGTGGGTGGCAGCGACAGGACCCTGCAGGGAGGGAATGTGCAAGCTAAGCAGACCACAACCCAACAAGTTATCTACACTGCCCCGTGGCAGTGAAATTGAACTCGGGCAGTCCGATTCAAAGTGGAGAACTACCCACTGCACCACCACTCCCTGCACAAGCCAATGTTGTACCAGCTTCAATCCATCTGTGCTTGTTGCATGAGAACTTTGCTCTATTGATATAGCAGAGCAACGCACAATTCTGCAGGCAAAGCTGGGCTGAATGAACACGTTTAACGCATCAACTGTGAAGTGCATTCCCACACAGCCTGGCGGTGACATTTGCCGCAATAACATGTGAGGGGGGAATGCAATTACGCTTTTAATAATAGTGGGGTTGCATTCCTAAGAGATAGTCGTTCGGCACAATTAAAGTATTGCCCAGGACAAAGCGGGTCATGCACGTGGTGCAATAATCTGTCACGTTTCAAAATTATTTACATGAGCACCATTTTATTTACATTACCAAAATGGGCACTTATTAAGTAGAATTAACTGTATACAGTATGTAAAAAAACTACTCGATAAATAAAGAGTTTCATGGTCATGCTGCACAGCTCTCCGACGCATTTTCGGGGTTTATCGCGTGCCATTCGACACGATATCCCAGCGTCAAAAGTTTTCTGGGGAAAAAAAAAGTTTCCCTAGCACGTGGAGTGAAACTTAGGACATCACAGCTGAACAACAACGCGCGGTATAACCTGCGAAAGAATAAAAGGTTCTTGTTTCACCACGACTGCCTTACTTGGTTTTGAGGCAATATTTTTAGGAGCCACTTTCTTGGAATTACTTGGCCAATTCCTTGAGCATTTATTGATTTTCTCACGTTAAATTACGTCTGTACTGTTGGCTGTGCAGTGCAACCATAAATTACAACGCTTCTAAAACAACTGAGCAGTGGGTTATACGAGGTGATGATCCCTGAATGGAATGTACAGAACTACTCCGACGTATCCTCAATAATTCTCATGCTAAATCCACATTATATTTCTGCTCTTACACATATGGTTGGGTGCTTAACCCCATGTCTGCTGCTCTATATTGATCCCTCGTGGCTGGGATGAAGAAAATAAAGTGTCAAAAAACTTTAATTTGCTTGTATTTATTTGTATCCGTGAGCAGCCAGTGATGACAAATCCACTGGACGAGATAACATGTTTTTTTTTTTACGTGGGCTCTCCATCCAAGGCTTAAACTTAAATCTCAGAGGTACCGGTTCATTGATCTGACACAATGATCAGCCTCCTGACCCACCCAGCCACCTGTATGGGCATTTTTCTTTCTGTTTTTCCAATGCCCTTCCAATTGTGCCGTCAGTTTCATGTCATGAGACAAAGCATCGGTTCATAATTCTGGCAGATCTGCGCCATAAAATTGCCCGAGGAAGTGGATACGATAAAACTTCTTCTGACATTCTTCTGAGATCTCTTCACAAATAACCTCTCATTTCATATAAAGTGTTCCTTTCAAAAGAGAGTGTTGTTGGGTGGCAGACCAACTCAGATTTGGAATTTTCTGCCGAAAGTATTGTGCCTGACCGCTGAGATTCTCCAATTAAATAAAAAAGGTATTTTCCATGACATGCTGAGATTCTTCCATTTAAATATGAACGAAAAAACTAGGTATTTGCTATGACATGTTACGTGAACTGGATCGTTTTTCTCTCTCTCTGTATGGAACTCTGAAGACCTTTATTGGGTCTTCTGCATCTTATAAAAACGTAAAATAAATTATTGGGTTTCATTTTTTGCTTGTAATTATTGGTGAATTGTCTTTGGACCATCAACGCCCTACACTTGGGAGCCCAGATTAATCACCTATGGCTGAAACCGAGATTTTTATCCCAGACCTCATCGGGACCGGATAAGTGCTCTGGCCCTCTGAGCCACCCGGCCACCTTTGATGCCCAATCACACGCACCACGAACACTTGACCAATACATCGAACGTACCCATTTATAACACACACACACACAGTATTCTCGGGATTATAAGACGCTCTGGAATGTAAGACGGACCCCACACAGACAGACGGAGACAAATGATCCCCCGCCTTTGTCTCCGCAGTGGCGATGTTTTTACACACCGCACCAGATTCTCATTTGACGTTGAGTCGTCCTAGGGGAGGCCCAGGACCCATTCGGATGATCGTCACTGGTGCTGGGCGTGAGCGCGAATCGAACCCGCGTCCGCCGGGTTCGTAGCGCAGCGCCACAGCCACTGTGCCACCGCTCCCCACACACGCACACGCAACACACGCGCAACACACACACAGAAACACACGCAAACTCTCGTCTCACAGATCCAGCGCCTACCTCTACACGCTCCCACCACCACCTCCTCGTACCCGGGGCCGCAGACGCACCTCCCGATGGGCACGAGCCACTCGCCGTCGGCGCTGCAGAACATGCGCGGCGCCTCCTTCTCGGCCGAGTTGTCGACGCAAGCGCCGCGCACCTCGATGAGCGAGGACGAGTCGGCGCCCGTCACCGTGTCGGGGAAGACGGCCAGGCCGCGCACGGTGCGTGGGCAGCGCTTGTAGTAGACCCGCACGGAGACGAGCGCGATGCACGCACCCACGTCCTGGAAGGCCAGGTGGAAGCCCTTCTTGGCGAGGGGGCCCACGTCGCGCACCTCCGTGTTCAGCTTCATGATGCGGCCGCCCAGGTCCACCTGCGTGAAGCTCTCGTCCGCCGCGATGGTGTCGATCTTAAAGAACTGGTTCTCGTCGACGTGAGCCGACGAGTCGCTGTCCGACTCGTAGTAGTGCAGGTTGAAGGTCTCCTTGCACGTGCCGGCCACGCCCGGGATGCTGCTGCAGTCGCGGAGCGTGAACTTGAGCTCGATGTAGATCCGCTGGGCGCCGCCGCACGAAATCCAATTAGTCCTCAGCCAGTTGTTTTGGCTTGGCTCCATCACATGGCAGACCTGATAGGTGGTGATGGGGGTGTAATATTCGTCGTAGCCGCTGATCTCTTCCCACTGCCAAAACAAGAAAAAAAAACCGCAAACAAACGAGGACGAAAAATTATTCGTGCACACGGTGCGTGGATTCAGTGGCACTTTCCGACGTGCGTTTGTCATCGCAAAGAATTTCAACGAGAGACTATAACGCTACCCTCCGGGTCGCGAAACTAGTTGACGTCACGGGGCTTGTGTCGTGTGATGTCACGGGATGACGTCACAAGCAACGACGTTGTCAGCTCGCGAGCGCTTCCCCGTTATCGCTGATGTGTTATCGCCATGTTCTGGGTAAGCCTTTAAATAATTATTTTCGGTTTTACGTAATATAAGCCTCTTACAGGCAACACAACTTCAAACCAAAACCTTTTTGAGAGTTACTGAACCCTATGTTACAGACAGATGGACAGCACTAATTAATTAGAGCTTTCGACGAAATAAATCGGCACAATGCAGCAACTGTACTGTCAAAATGTAAATGGTTTGGAAAAAGTGTCAACATTTTAAGTTGGAATTTTTTTCTTGATAAGTGTTTGTTGACAGCAAACTTCACGTTGGCCTTTAGTCCACTTACAGACAAAAGAACCTTCTAGATAGCAATAATCGGCCAAACGCTGAATAGAAGAGGTAAACCGGTAAAGGCGCAGCCCTGCAAATTACTTCCTCACACTACTGCTGGTGGATGTATGCATGTATACAGTATTGCACTTCTTTCGCAACTGTACGTAGCCAACCGTGCTAATCGGAGGTGCGGAGGAAATGACAACAAACCGAACACAAAAATCAGTTCTCAAGAGACGAGTTTTAAATCTAGATTTAAAGGCGCATAGCTCCAGTGGCTTTCTAATATCGGAAGGCAGAGCGTTCCAGACGGCTGCAGAAACGCATCTGAAAGCTTGAGATGCAGTGGCCGTCTTTGTTGGATGGCGAGCCCTAAAGCCGATGTGAGGACAACCGGAGTTCGCGTGATGGTTTATGGATGTGCCTCCACTTGAGGTCTCTCTGGAGAGCCCTCCTTTTAAACAACGGCTAGATAGCTTGTAAGAGGTTGGAGTACCCACACTTTAACTCACCACACGCTGCATAACCCTCGACTAACTGCGGTGTACCTATTCATACTGCCGTGGTGGTCAGTGGAAGGGCGATCTAAGAAACTTGGCTGAATATAATATAGCATTTCAATTGAATATGTTACTTAATTAATTCGAAGGGAGTTCATTGAGATTCGTTATCTCTTTTTGAGAGGGAGACCCAAGTGTCACTATCATTATATGAGCGGTGTAATTACCCCGCGAACAATTACGTTGTGGTGTGTAATTTTCACACTCGAAATACTTGAAATATAGAGTAACCCGGCATACGCACTCAGACACCCACACATGTGAATTGGTGTCAAAAAATTGCCTTGCTGAAGGTATAACGATTCCCAGCAATTTTACAAATTGTTGCGAATCAGGGTCACAGTTCGATAGAAGAGTTTTTTTCTTCTTCACAACGTGGTGAGCGGTAGCGACCAAACGGGGTTTAGGGCACACTTCAGCGTGGCTCTATGCTTCGTCTCCACACGAAGGTTACACTATTGTGGTCCGTCAGCCTTTTGGCTTTCCAGACCAAAGTTGTTCGGACGAATTTTGTTTCAGAAGAGCAACTTCTGGACCGCTTTCCACGTGGAGATACAGGACAGATTTTTGACTCCTGTATGCATTTTACCTGTAATGATCCACAGTAAATGCAAAGTGAGGTTTTTTTTAAAAATGAAATTGAGAACTAAATTCTCAGGCAGCATATGAGATGCGCTATCACTAAACGTTTAATGCTGTTAAATATTAAGATAACTGATTGTATCCAATGCGTCCTGGAATTGGTGCGAAGACTCACTGCTCAGGTTGCGATTTAATTCAAGAACCAACTTTTATTTTCACATTGTAAGTGGACATAGCGGCGAGTAACGGCTGCACAAGCCATTGGAGCCAATTACAAACAATATGCGATCGAAAAACTGTGATCGTCGGACTCCTGATTCGACGCGTGCATCATTTGATTACAAAGCGATAATAATCGATACACGCTTACGCCTCTCGTCGCTGACATCTATTTGAAAGAATAGAGGAGACTTTTTTTGTTTTGTTTATTATCACACAAGAACTGGCATGCTAGTATTCATACCCATGAGCGCAGCGATGTCAAAGAGTGTTAGCACAATTCTTGGACCAAACTTGAGCCGTATGATGGATTCCGGTACATTTTGCATGCAGGTGAAACACATTGAGAATGTGCGGAAACTTGTTTGCACATTTATCCCCGTATTTATAAATCCCAGGCCACCTGGACGCGGTTTTCAACGCCGCAATTAACTTTGGGACTCAAGTTGTTTGCAAGCCAGCCGTTTCGAAATACAAAATATTTAGGAAACGATTTGAGTGCGATAATTAGCTCTGAGCCCACACACCCCTCGCGCCGATGGCGTTAAACACCGCCACGTTTATTTTTTAAACAAATGCCCCCCCCCCCGCTCCTCCACCCGCCACGTGACAACGCCTTGTGTCCGAAAAAGTGCTGCTTTATTTGGCAGCCCCCCCCCCCCAATCTTTTTTTGTTATCTGGGAGCCCCCCGTTTTTTCGTTGTTGGTGTTGTTGTTGTTGTTGCTCAGCGGCGGCACTTAGCGAGCTTCGCATTTTGTATTTTGAGAGCGCACGTGTTGGACGACCTGAGCGCAGTGAGTCTGAGCGGCAGATGGGCAAATTGGGCGAGCTCTCTGCCCCGGCGGAACTTTGCCATTAGCGCTAATCCGACAGCTTAGCGGGAGCAACTGGCGGGGTCAAGCCTTGCTTGTGTCGGCCGGGCCAGGGTCTGGTCAAGCTAGCCTGGACTGATGTCTGGCCGTTTGAAACTAAGCAGTGGGCAATTATCTGGAAACCAGGGCTGTGGGCGTGTCTCTTGCGGTCGGGCGGTAAAAATGCCCGCTTGTGCGCGTGCGCATGTGTGCGTGTGTGTGTTTGTGTGGGGATTGATAGTGTGGGTGCTCGCTAAAAAGCGCTTGCGCCCAATGGTTCTGTTAAGGCTATACGGGGGATCTTTGTCCTTGCCTTCGGAGTGGAAGTGGAGCAGTTAGCGCGCAGGCTCTACGAACCCGACGACCCGAGTTCTGTTCCCGCTCACGGCCAAGACAAGTGACTCTTACCCGACCCGCCCTGGGCCTTCCCTAGAACGGCTTAATCTCAAATGAGTACCTGGTTCGGTGTATAAACATCCCCACTAAGGGGACAAAGGCGGCTGGGCGTGGTGCTGGCCAACCACCACTTCGTTCGCAGCACCTGCTCCAAAAGTCTGTTAAGGCTATACAGGGAGTCTTTGTCTTTGCAAAAGCATAAATCAGAATCCATGTCGGTGTGTGGTGAGCGCTGGCGGAGTGATTAGCGGACTGCACAATGAAACCCACGATCTGAAGTTAATTCCCGACCGCAGGTAGCATCAGTGGCAAATGTATGAACCGGTCACCAGGTAGACCCAGCCTTATACGTGTACCTGGTGGGATGTGTAAACATCAGTGGTAGGGGAGACAAAGGTGGCCGGGTCGTGGTGTGCCTGGCCACACCGCTCTCTCATGTGCCCTGCCAGCCTTAATAGGCGTCTCGCTAACAGTACTTGTCCCAACTTTCTAAGTAAAGATCTTTGTCCTAGTTCATGTGCAGTGACTTAGTGCCCCTGTGTTGCTATTAGCAGCATGTCCAAATACATTTTCACGTCAACCATTATTTCTATTTTTTGTTGAAATCCACAGTGGCACGATGGTTAGCGCCCTCGGCTGCAGCGCTCGTCAACCCAATTTATATTCTTGGCCATGCCGGGGCCAAGCGTAGGTCAACTCAGCGTCAAATGAGTACCTGGTGTGGTGGTGTAGAGGCATCGATTAGTGCCAGGGAGACAAGGCAGAGAAGGCATGGTGCTGACCCCGCCAATCCAACCGTGTAGTTCTGCTGTCAATAATAGGCGCTCCCTAACAACACAATGCCCTCGCGGTCGGCCCAGTCTAATGGAGGGGGGGAAGGAGGGGGATCGTGTTCGTCTGTGTGTAGCCCATGCCAGGACCCGTGCAGTGAGCTCTTGCCCTCCGTGTGGATATGGCAAAGCTCCGAGTCCCAGCTAAAACTTCTTTTTGGCAACAAACCGGAACATCGTGCCCACGCACAATCTGGAATACCGAAGTAGCAGAAAAGATTCGGCAGCTGCGATTCCGAAGCCCCCTTTAACGTGTCAACACTGCGCAATGCGCCAATTAATTTGCTTAAATACCAAAGGAGCAATTTCCATCTGCTCAGTTTTGTGCAATTCTCCGTGTGAGAGCGTGGTTTCAGAATGAAGGGGGTGGGGGTGGAGAAACAACGCTGTTCTGTTGACATATTCACACTGCTTGTTTCCCAGTGCACAAGTCTCAACGCTTATGCTCAGGCTCCAAATGGTTCCGGGGGAAAACAAATAAATAAATAACACGGACCTGCAGTAACTATAGAGCGATTCATAATTGCAAGTTCATTAATGGAAATGCTTTGTGGGCGGGCAAGGGGGGGGGGGGCTATTGATTATTTGATACAACGTCCGTCATCCGCTATGGCTCAGTGGTGGACTGACACACGTGAAAGATCGCCTCTTTTTCAAGGGCCACCTGGGTTACACAAAGCAACTTTTAAAAACGTTAAACGCGGACAAGACAAAAGTCGCGGGCGACCCACTCCAGATGACAGGATGGATTTGACACTCGACTCCGCTCACACGCCAAGAGTAATTGCGGACAATCGGAAGCGCTTTCGGCGAATCAGAATTGTACAAACTGCGGTGAATTCCCGACAATCGGAAGAATATCTTGGGCAGACGGTAAGACGTTTCCGTGGAGACCCTGCAGCCCATGCTGCGGATAACAAGGGTCGCGGATGAGAAGGGAACTCTCCTGCACGACCGTTTAAGCTTGCAATCGGCATGCGGAGCAGTGACGAGTCGATTCCGTTCAGCACGTACCAAGGCA